ATGAGAACTAAAGCCACCATCCTAAACTAGTCGTCGTTAGCAAATTAGTAATTGTAATAGCAAATTAGTAATTGTTGGATCTCCATAGCATAAAAGCAGTAATTTTCATGTCTCATCATCCTTAAGATTTCATAATGTGCCCTTACATAAAGATGCCAATACCTTAATCGAAGTCGGTGACTTCAACGCAAAGACATTCACAGAGGCTTCCGGGCTTGTTGACGAAGGCTGCATTCATGATATACGCCGAGCTTCATAAGGTTACCGTGTACCCTTGTGTTTTATGTCGGGGCACACTTGTATCTTGGAAAACAATGGCCGATTTGCAAAAAAGTGGCAGACTCTTTTTGCAAACTGACCGCGCCGATCAGATCAACCCCATCCGCTCCTAATTACGAGTATGAGGGCTGTTTCGGAAGTTCATGGACTGGCTACACCAGAATGGAAGCTTTAAAGGGGAAACTATTATCATTTCATCTATACCAGTTTTGGTTCTCTCTAGGAGGAATTTCATAGTTTCAGGAGGAGAATGCGGTCAGCCTTTTATATATATATGTTAAGTATTCAGTTTCAGTTTATTAATATAAACTAGACTTAGTCAAGTTTTAGCATACGCGTTTACTTAAAAGTTTTGGAAGACAGAGGGAATTGTCTTCTATCAATGGTAAAAAAGGAAGCATGTGGCAAGAAAGGTGGAGAACTACTTATTAGATCTCTCAAGACTTTAAAAGAATGGAAATATAGCAAGAAGTATCATATCCACTATTTTACATCGACTACCAGAAAATTGGTCTCTATGTTTGAAGCTTAGTCCACTTCTGAAATTAGTGCTCAGAATATGAAGGCGCAAAGGGAAATCATTTAGTCTCCTTATGACTCAAACATTAAATAACGATTTCTGTTCACGAATTTTCGGAAACAACTTCCGTTAAAAACATTCTCCTTCAGTATATTAACTAATCAGGCGGAAAACCGCACGTCTGTAAAAGAAGGGAAAAGATAAAGATATCCAGTGATTTGAACAGATAATACGGGTATGGTATTAATAATTGGGTTTATTATTGTGAGCTACAAATCCTCCTACTTTCAATAATAATTCTGAATTGAAGTGAAAGCAATATGGAATACACTTTATTTGATTTCATTAATATTCAAAATATCACTTTTTTGCTGATCAGTCTTAACAAATGAAAATGATGGTGGATATTTTAAAATCTTAGCAAGATGCACTAATTTCATCCACGAAAAGGTTTCTCTGCTCCATCTGAATGCTGTTTAACACCCAGAATAAGATTTCGCAAGAGTAGACATAGGAAAAAGATTGAGAGCTAAGCTGCTGCTAAACTAAAAGTGCTGAAAGGATTGTTATCGGGTGCTAATGAACGCTGCCGTGTCAGCGTTGACATGCGTGTGGTAAGTGCGTTGTCACTGGAATAAACATTATTATATAAATAAATTACACATCAAAGAGGAAATTTCGCCAAGATTTTAAAAGGAAAACACCTGGATGCCCTTAAGCGAGGTATGTCGCAGCAGAAAGACAGAAGTGACTGTGAGATTTTAAAAAAAAATTTTTTCTTAGAACTATCGAGCAGAAAAATTTACATTTAAAATTTTACACAGCAAATTTGTACACGAATACATCTTGTAATTCTCAACAATGTTTTGAAATTTTAAGAGTTAAAAAATTAATAAAAATTTACTAAAAATGTATTAAATATTTAGTGAAAGTAAAATGAAGTAAATGAATTCCAAAACTAATGTAATGTTGATTTCGACATTTACACATTTCTAATGATGTTAAAATGTTTACACATTTCTAATGATGTTAAAATGTCGGAATTCTTATCATATGTAACCGTAAGTTTAAATACGTTCTTTTACGTTCAAAGTACGTTTCTGTTCATTTTATTGCATTTTTGTTTATAAAAAGTACGTTATTGATTTTTTCCGGAGAAGGTGTTCCTTAAACTCCCATGCACAAGTTTTTTGCAATCAAATATAATGTATAGAATGAGTTATTTTATGGATTCCGGTACCTAAAATACGCTAACAAGACCTATAAAATAAACAAAAAATTGCAATCTGAAGCTTTCAAATCACAGTTTAACACTTCAAAAAGCTTGCCTATCAAAGAATATTTAAAAATATAAAAATTTTGCACTTTTAAAAACCTAAATTATGCAAATTTTTTAACGTTTATTATCTTTAAACAATTGATTCTCCAGAAATTCAAGACGTAAAACATAAAATTATATATTTAAAGCGAATAGTTAAAATCTGCAATGCAAAATGACAAAGAAATCTGCTATTTCACTGTAAGTTAACGCCACGTGGGGACTTGCGCACTTATTTAGAAAAGAAAACAGTTATTCGAGACACAGGTGAACATTTATTTTACGGATGGATTAAATACGAGGCTTGCAATAAATATTTCCCTCAAGTAGCAATAATTTTTATTTTGCCAGGACACAAAATCCGTTCTCTGAAAACAATAAACACATCTTGAAGGTGTTAAAAAAAAAGAAAGAGTGAGTGATGAGTGGCATTTCGACAGCTTTCTGGTACCTAAAAGCTCGAAACGCTTGTATATTTATTAAACTCTCCAACTGCTTTCATCACACCTTAATTGTTTTTATTGATCTTTCACTGGCAAATTAAGAGCTCACCTACATCTTTCACACATTTTTTATCGAATATGGATTTCTAACCGAAGACTAACATTTAACGAAATATCATGAAGAAGAAACTTACACTGCGCATGGCCGTGAATGGAAGTGGAATTCTCCAATATGATCAGCATTTCATCTTTCATCTTCGGGTTTTTCTATTTAGATCAGTAAAACGTTGGGCGAATGTTTCACAAAACTCATAAATGACGGCTATATCTAATGGTCTTATTACGGTAAAAAATCTACAGTTATCTCCAAAATGACAAATGAAAAATAATGAAGATCTAAAGATACTTAAATACAGAAAATTTTCTCATATATTACGACAATTTTGCTTCAAAAAAGGGCCACAATCTTAGTCTAGGAATAAAACTTTTTATATTTTCATTCACTATAGCAGATAAGCTGAAACGTAAAACACGAAAAGTAATTAACGAGAAATGACAGATGTAACAGAGGCACGCTAATCTGAAGTTAAAAATTAGGCAAAATCCTGTCTTACTCTGAAATTTCTTTTAGAAAGAAAATAATTTGGATCCAGTCAGATTTATTTTTATAGAATTCGATATAAATTTTTTCTCGAAATACATACAGCTTTCCTCAAAAACCAATATAAGTTTTGCAGATATTTAATAAGAAACGCTGAATAGCTGTTAAGAACACCTCCTTCTAAAAATGCACATATTTTTTCTCGAAAACTAACATAAAGTTACTTTTACCTCAATTTAGAAAGAAGTGCTGAATAACTAACTGTAAAACATATACGTCACTGAATAAAACGGACATGACTCTTTTAAATACCATTTCAATGCATGCTAAGTTTATTTTATTACAAAGCTTTCTTTAACACATTTAGCCATAATAAATTTAAGCACACAGTTTAAAGCTTTATACACTCTAAAATAACAGAAATTTTGATGGTGGCAGGATCCGGGGGAGGGGGCATTTTCATTCGCGCAGTTGGAGTACACACAATAGCGAAGTCTATGCTTCGTAAAATTTCGTATAGAATATCGCAGCACATAATTTTGCATAAAAGATCAACTAATGTCAATTACTTGAAGTCACACGCATCTGTGCACTGGGGGTGGTGGTCAATAAGATTTTTGTATAATGCTATAACAGAACGAAATCTATTTGCGGCTAATTTTGCGTTCTAGATATACATTTGGGTTCCAGATATTCGTTCTAGGTACATATTTTGGGCACCTCTCGCAGTCCAAAAAGTGTTATAAAATTTTGAGTTTCTATTCCAGCTGCTTTAAACTTGGAGGGGGGAACAGGCAGTATGATTAAATCACCTGAAAAATTTCTAATGACCATCCTGAAAATCACTGCAGAACTGGAAAAGTCGAGTTCGTAAAAGAACTTTTTAACGAAGAAGTGTTAACTACTGTTAACAGAAGTGTTACTAAGTGTTAAATACTCAGTTAAATGTTTCATTTATAAAGATTTCTAGTAGCTGAAAAATGAAACCAGTGGTCAAATACCAAACTTAAACTGAGAAGAGATATTCCCAGTTTTCACAAATTATATTACTTCTAAATGAATAACATTAATAACTGAATTGACCTTACTGAGAAAGAAATGCAACAACAGAGCATGCACTGCTAATAAACGATGGATACGCAACTTCGGGGGAGGGAGACTAAACGTCGACCGTCTGAAATCTATGATGATCATAATAGCATGTAATAATAAATGGTTTTCAATCTTTTTTGCCTCATGCGCCCCTTTCAGCTCTGATAGAAAATATTTCCTCCCCCTCCTTTCTTTATTGTCTAAAATGTAAACTGCGTACATTGAAATTGTAGGGCATGTTTAGCATTACTAGTGTGATATTAGTTAAAGCAAAATTGCACTTCTGAATAATTGCTCCTGTTCAAAATACAAATGATGTTTTAACCATGAAGCCAGGTGTGATTTTCGGACGAGACGTCATCTATGCAACAAGCTAAATTATAAGACAGCTAAATCTACCAAATGAAATGTATGTCCTTAAAATTAATAAAATTAAAAGCGAAAAGACAGCTAATAAAGTATTATGTTTTACTACTATAAGAATGAGATAGCTCATCAGATTATTCAGCAAATTTTTCCCTCAACTGTTTGGCATAATATAAACTGTCTGCTGCTTATGCAACAAACAGACTTTAAAATCACGACTAATCGAATGCTAATAAAAAATTCAATAATATAAAACCGCACTCAGTTGCATAAATACATATAGAAAAAAATCTATGAAATATATATTCACTTAGTATGTTTCCAGGAACAAAGCTCAAATTATGTGCGAGGAAAGAATGCATGGATTACAGTTATTCTTACCTTGATGGAATCATAGCAAGCAATAACCCTTCCATTCTGGACCTCTACATGGGAAGGGGGATGGGCGAATTTGCAATCAGTATCGGAGCGGGAGCACTTGTTCCTTTGAAACTCTCGGCAGACCTCCAGTTGGAGCCACCGAGAGTCTTTGATGGCTGCCAGGCTGCTCACCATGGCCATGTCATGACGGACGGAGCACGAGGTCACTTCTGAAAATTAAAATTAAAATTTAAGTTAAAACAGTCTTCAGAAAATTAAAGCATAAACAAAAATGATTTCACATATTTGACTTAAATCCCATTTCTCTTTTCAATAAAAAACTTTTGCTCGAAAAGTTTTGCGAAATCAAGAAAAACAGCACTGAAACATGAAAAAGGATATTAGAATTCTGAAGTTAAAAGTATGGTAAATGACCGACTATGATTAGCTGTCGAAGATTTATTTAATCCTTTCTGAACAGAGGATCCATATTGTTTATGCGTTAGCCGATACATGCCCCCCCCCAAAAAAGTAATAAAATATGCTACAGATTTTTCAAGGAATTCGTCAGGAGCAAAAGATTTTTGCTTCTGAAGAACAGAGGTCTTAACGTCTCATTGCCCTCAAAACCCATAGAGATGTATTCAAAATCTACGCCAAATTACGTTTTTTACCCATGACTTTAAATTCATATTTCTGTCTACTAACTATTATCAATCATTTTCCAGTCTTTCCAGTCTAGCACGGCAAATTTCTAGCAATTTCCCGTTGTTTTTCTGAACAATGGAATTAACATTTTGCTCACCGTACTAACTGATTGGAAGCAGAAGTACTGTGCAGATACAGAAGGTATATGCAGAACAGTGTATTGGCAATTATCAAAATTAATTCAGCCAAAGAAGGCGTTTAATGATGACACTACCATTGGCATTATCAAAAATGCACTTACGTCAATAGTTCCAATACAGAGAAAAGTAGGCAGAAAGCAATGAACATTAGAACACTTTTAAAAAGCTCGTTAAAACTGCTGGCAATAATGCATTTTCAAAAGACACTCTACATCAGAGATAAAGATAATGAGTACACACTCAGAAGAACTTTTAAAAATTAGAATTAAGTACACTCTTCACGTTTTAAAGATATTAAGATAACTTTCTAGTAGGCATTCAAAAATAATGTATCCTGAGTGCATTAAAACATGCATTGGAAAAGGTCGTTACTATAAAAACAACAAGCTAAAAATACACAACAAGTGAACTAAAAAAAAATACTTGAGAAAATTTAAGAGCTATTAAAAGTCGCACTACAATCCTTCAATTAAAATAGTGTTTAATAGTCTGAAAAAGGTCACTACTACTGCTTTACCTCTTAAGAAGTTAACTATTAAAATAAAAATAATACAACGCGATGCTATCAAGTGATTAAGATAATCTGGCATAAAAGCGATATACCTGTGGAAGACTTTTTAAAGAAAATTGGCTTGTAATCAAGTCACACATAAGAAAAATCACAAATATATATATTATGTATATGAAAAAATATGGACTGTTGAAGACAGATGTCGATGGCACAGTTATTTACGATGAGAACTGAGGCAGGTGCTACTTTGGTAGACGGTTGCACGGATTTTGGCGAGTTTTTGGCAATTTTTCTTTTGGCGAGTAACACGACTTATGGTAAACCCATTGCTGGACAAGTTCTTTATGGTAACCGATACTTTGTTGACATTTTATTTAAAAAATAATGCGTGTTATTATGCATAAATTCCGTGTTTTAAATATTATTTATGGCTTCTAAATATTAAAAATCAATTTAATTTTGCATTTATTTGAAATAAAAATTTTATTCTTTATCATATTTTATGAAATTTATGCTGGGATGATGTAATCAGTGACGTCACCTTACTTTAAAAGTAATTGGTTTTAATATCTATAAATTAATGTTTTAAACATTATTTATGGCTGTTAAATATTAAAATACAATTTAATTTTGGATTTCTTTTTCAAATGATTTTATTATGTATGATATTTAAATAATTTTAATTCTAGGCGTGATGTAATCAGCTCTCTGATTGGTTATAGAATATTTGTGCATTAATGAGCTGTAATCAGCTAGCTCCCTGATAGGTTGCTGAAAAATTTGTGCATTACCGCGCCCATTTTAAAATTTAATTCATATCTTCGAATTCCTTCAAAATGTCTCCTTCAAAGATGAATGTTGTTTTTGATAAGTACCAAGAATTTTGGTTTCGGAATTAAAAAATTGTCCTTTGAGACCTTATTTTCGCCAGCCTGGCTTTCCTAATCAAAGATTTATTTAAAATTCTTACAAGGGTCAGAGGAAATTTATTTGAAATTTTTGAAGGAAACGTCGCTAATTGTTTCTTCAATGAAGTGAGAAAATGTAGATCACAGATGAAGACCGTTAGAAGAGCCGATTCTGAGACGGCCGTATATGATATTGTGGTCATGTTGGAAGAAATAAGCGCTGTAACGGTAAGAAGTTATTAGACATTCCTCCTACCAACAATAAACTAATTGCTGTCATTTTAGCTCTAGTGTACGAAGCGTTCTTATTTACTTATTTTAAAGTATTTAATTTAAGTAATATTTTAATTCTTTTAAACGTTGGTATGAAGGTTTTTAAATTGGTTTTTCAATTACGTTAATATTTTATCCAATTAAACGTTGGCGCAATGTTTTTATAGTGGTATTTTTATTCTATTTCTATGCTATATGAAAGTAATAATTTAACCTTTCTTTAGTATTTTATACTCGTAGTAAATGTATCTATATAACGTATTTTAAAGTATTTAAATTAATATATTCTAATTCTTTTAAATGTTGGATGATGTTTTTTTAGTTTCGATATTCAATTTCAGTAATATTTTAATCTAATTAAACGTTGGCACAATGTTTTAATCTTTTCTTTGCTATATGAAAGTAATAAACCTTACTTTAGGATTTTATACTCATAGTAAATGTATTTATTTATACTTGCCTGCCATCTTAAAAAACGACATTTTCAACAAAAAAATTAATCCATTATTTCTAACGATATTTATTTTTTTTTAAGTGTCGAATACTTTACTATGCGTAAAAACAGCGTTTTTCAAGATGGCTGACGTTTGTAGAAATCGCGCCAACGTAAATCGCCAAAAATCCGTGCAACCGTCTACCAAAGTAGCACCCTGAGGCATAACGTAGTAGTTGCAGTCATGATCTATTTAAATATTTCTTTATTCTCGTTGACAAATATGTTTTAAAGAAAGATAGGTAAATGGCATAGTAAGAGCGCATGTTGAAGATGTACATCAGTATCGCGGATAATTGAATTCTGAAATATATTTGAAGCAGTAGTGGCTAACAAATTGGCAACAGCAGCTTTTAGTTAAGCTTGAAAAGTTATTATTTAAATTAACCAGTTATTTCATAATAACGGTCTTTATTATAACTTCTCCTTTTGGGCGTCATCACCAGAATGTCAATAAGGTATCTAGTATTTAAACCGAGGTTTTGGGATTTTAAGACAGAGTGTGTTTCTTTCCTCGTGTGCGCGTTATGTGTTAGTTTCCTGCCAGCTGTGATGGTTGTAATTATTCGGCGTCGCGTTATATTGCTGCCGATACTTTAATTTTTGACGCTCCAGTAGAATTACTGAGCCAGCTTCGAGTAATATTTGAATTGTGTAATCTTTGACTACTGTTCCACGTTTAACTTGAATTTTACTATTCCTTTAGTAGCACCACCATGAGCTGTGCTCATATTGTTAGCATAAGAGTACGTTTATGTGCTAAATTCTGTTTACTTCAGACATACTTATTACTTTAGCTACTTCAGACACAGCGACTTATATATATATATATATATATATAATGTTGTATGATCTTAAACTCATTTAGTGCGAAAACAAGTTACTACTACTTGCGCAATTGCTGCAAAGTTAGTTACTACTTGTATGACAAAAAGAGAAAATAGCCAAATTATCCTAAAATGAAAGTTAAGGGACTAATACAAATTAAAGTTAGAATTTTGGTTTATATAAATAAATAAAATTTTGGCTTAAATGAAACTTTGTGTGCAGCCATTTCGTTTATCGGGAGCCGAAGGTGGGGCGACCATGCTTAGTAGTGTTACTAAATCGGCCAAAGATAGTTCGCCCCTGATAAATCCGTCACAGCTATATGGTGAGATAAATCGAGGTTAGATAACATGATTGCATACACCTTTCTGGTAACATCATAAACATATTTTTATGGACAATAAAAACATGGGTTACTTGTATTTGCACAGAACTTAACAAAAAGTCATTAAGGATCCCAACCTTTTTATTTAAAAATCATGCATAATTTTCCTGTGTTTAAATGAACATTTAGTTCGTTCACTACTTTGACAGAACTGTTTTAGATTTCTACTCAGTTCCTACACGTTAACCTAAATGGATCAGAAGTTACTTGATTTCAATGACTACAATCAAGATGTTAAAAAATACTACGGTTTATATCGTCAAATTCAGTAAAGTATTCACATTTCGAAACTTGAATATTCTGGAACAGTTTATAGTTTTAGATGAATAATTCAATCACAAATTGCAGAAAACAATGTTTAATTAGCCGTTAAATCTAAAGGGGGAAAACTAAACACACTTCGAGAAATCTCTCACTATCAGTAATAAATTAAACAAACCCTCGCGCCTCCTTCCCTCCTTGAAAGAAATTCCAACTCTCATCCCTTGAGGGAAACAGCAAATTTATTATTTTTATGAAGAATTTTTAAAAAGTTACCAGTTATAAAACACCTTCAATGAAATTATTACACATTGTCCAAATGTATTAATTTTTTCCATTTAAAACGGTAGGCGTACTTAATCTAAATCTAGTCTTACCGATTACTGCCTCAATTTAACCTTGAACAGAAATGCTCCAAACAGGTTGGCATGTTTATTTCTAAACTTAACTACCTGAGTTTCAACTCACAAATTACGTCAACGAGTTTCTATATTGGATATCATTTAAATTTAGAAGAAACAGTTTTAATTTCTTTCGGTTTTTGGTAAGTAACGTCATCGAGTAACTGAGACCATCTGGTCCATTTAGTTAATATTTAACTAGTGTTTATTTGTGGTTTAAAGAACATCAGCACTAATATAATTACAATGAGGAAAAGCAATTATTCCATTAATTTACATATTAAAAATCACAGCCAGTTACTGAAAACAACTCAAAAATATC